AAACTATCGCCAATCAGAATTAAAAGCTCTATTTTAATTCATGAGGTACATAAGAATGACACAACCGGCTCACCAAAAACGATTTTTTCTCACACTATATTAATTAAGAGGAAGGCCTATTAAGTAAAACAGTCCTTATAACGGATCATGGTACAAACCCAGGAAAATAAACAGAAAATCTGAATTTCGCAAGATCAACGGCTGAGGATAATTTATACCGGAGCAATTTATGTACACATACAGCATCAAATGGAACGATTAAAATTGAAAGGTCTGCAATCTTTGTACTGCTAAAGTAAAGATAATGTCCAAATAAGATGGAACCTAAGGTTAAAATATAGAACTTCTGGAGTAGGATTTAACTAGAAACAATCTAGTGTTTGCTATCTCATCCTAAGGTCAGACTACATACTGAACAAGAAAGGCTGAATATCAGATATTTGAGGAAGCAAATCTTATTTCATTTACCAGAAATATAATTTGTTCATATCTTTGGAATGCTTCTTCAGGCAAGAAACACACCAAGGCACAAATTAGAGCAAATCAGGGATATCGTGATCAATAAAACCAAAGTAAGGAGCAAAAATTGAGAATTTTCTTTCTGGACGCAAGACTGCACAATGAGACAAATGAAGTCAGAGTGATTTTAAATAAGCGCGTTATAAAAAGATTTTATCCCTTACTAAGAAGCCGTGGATACCTTGCGAAGCCCTCAATATGCCACTAATTTTTCTATCCTAAAGGCATTAAAGTGTGAAAGTTTTAAATGAAATGTGGCTGAAGAACACAAAATCTATATAGCCTTATACAAATACTAGAGGCCTGTGGTGGTTTGACAGTGGTTGAAAGATAAATGATATTTAGGTCAATTTGCTGAATGGATCATAATAATCAAAAAATCAAAGAAAAATTAAATGAAACAGATAAAAACAAAACTACACCTCGTGAAAAGGCAATCTTCCAGTCAATTGTAGACCCAGCATCACCATTCTAACCACCCAGAAGAATAGAATATCCCCCCCAGTCTCGAGCAAAGAAAGTGGATAGAAGCGCTCGAAGTCACACGAATCAGAGGTCTGAAGACGAGGATATAATATAAAATGTATAAGAGTCTATTGGCAAAGTCGATGAGAAAGAAGCGATGAGTACTATCGGACATTAATTATACCCTAGACAATATAATATGAGCGCAATCATTAAGCGCTCAAAATGTAACTTGATTTTTAAGCTTAGTTTTTGGCAATAAAGAACTTTTGAAAAGTTATTTGGCAAGTTACCTTCAGCTGAACTCCAACTATTCTTGCAATGCTATTCTTAAATTCTTACTCAATACATGCTAGTGGTAAAAATCTACATACACAATGACGATAAGCTAAAAACTAAGATCTAGCGCCCACACTTGTCCAGCCTTAGGCCTCTGATTTAGAGGGTGAATTAAGTGCGCAAAGTGTGATTAATATATGTGATATAGGCATGGAACTTTAAAGAATTTCTATTTAAAATGTAACAACTTTTGAAAATATCTTTAGCCCTGCATTTTCTAAAAAGGTTTTCTTGAAACTTCGTAGCATAAATCTTCAAAGAGACTGCCTTCAATCAGCTGAATTAAGCATTAAGATGTTTTAGTTTCAGAAGACAGCTAATTCTAAATCATGCTAAAATGGCAACAACAGCCTCTCCATACATTCCAAGATTATGCCGATTTTCTATGCATTAAGAGGTTAATGAAGAATTTGGCCTAAAGAAAGGTGGCGAGTATGTCGAATATAAATGTTGTTGCTCTCTTTTAAGTATACAATTAGGTCATAGTGCTGCTTCCGGCTGAATAGGGCTAAACATAATATACTAATAGTGGTGGTATTCAAAAAGAAGTTATATGCACGCTATTTGTAAAATAATGTTTGAATAAGAGAGATTGAATAGAAGAAAGACACTGCAATTAAAAGGACATCTCAGATAAGAAAATCTTTTTATAAAAATAGCTAGTGTTCGAATAACAAAATAGCCAAAGTCCCAACTGCATATGAGAGGCATTTGTGATCGTATTGAAACCCAAAAAAACAATTATCCAGCCCATTAATAAAAGTCATGACCATTAGAAGAGACAATGGAAACATTGCGGCTGGATTGAATAAAATTGATCAATCCTAATCATAAAGTACTTTAGAATATGCTATTATAAATCAATAACAAGATATTTACTTAATCAATCAAGGGGAACGTATTAGAGTATCGGATACTTAGAATGTCTACCGTCTGGAATGCCACGCAATTTAAAGAAATCAAGAGGTTGGGGATACCTAATCAGAGAAGATGTAAAATACTAAATTCGGCAGAATCGTCTCCAGAAAAATCATAGTGAATAGTGCTATCAGTCTATTGTTCATAAATAAAATCTGTTAATTATTTTAAAAAATTTACTTATGAGTAGATCGAGTAGTCTTAATAAGTAAATTTATATTTAGGTTAATTAGATTTTGATAGCATCATTAGACCTTGAGTAAGAGCTCTAGGACACACTAGATGATTAAGAATTGATAGATAAATTTTATCATAATGGTGGGAATGGGTCATAAAGTGTCAATGAATTTTACATTGCCTTATGAATAGTATTTTCATCCAGGGCGGACTGCAGTTGCGATCTCTCTTGGATCTCACCAACAACCTCAATAGGAAGTAAATCTGGGATGTGTGCATGAATTGGCAACAAGTAACGACCATTCCACAGGCCAACTGTGCCAGAAGTTATACTCAAGACGATTCCTATAACAAAGAATCCGTAGTTATGTGGCTTGGTGTTAACGTGTCGCTACTTTACGCGCATGAGTTAGGTTTAATTCATGTTAAAGTTGCAAGTCAATTCTGGATAATAATACTTTTTAGAAAATGGTAGCAAATACTTGGCGCGCAGATGTTAATAGATGCATCCCAAGGATCAGGGAATTAATGATATGTTGTATAGTAATCAGCATGAATTTGTATCTTGGTATAAATCATGTGTAAAGTGCTATAAGGCACTTAAGAATATGTTATGGACTAGTATAAATGAGTTTTATTATAACTAAAATCTAACTTGATTCGGCCAGCCCAAAGAAGAAAACGGAAGAAGAGCAGAGCTAAACCAGGTGTCTAGAACATCTTCATCTGGAAAAATAAAAAAAAACATAAAAGATATTTTCGAAATTAAACACGCGTTTTGGCTGACTTAAATAGTCAAATAGTAGTTGATTAACATTGTTTTCACAACTTGGTCATATTGATAGGAAGACCTAGACGAACACACCTGGTCCGGAGTCCATAGTATGTATGATAATTTTCAGTTAGAACGTGGACTTGGTACATTCCCAGATGTTTCACCGGCATCGTTATTGAGACAAGTGAAATTCATCCATTGAACAATTGCCTGCTAAACAGCACTAAATTCACGGTCCGACTCTGGAAATTATCATGAATGTTATGGACTCCAGACTAGGTCTTCCTGCCAATATGACCAAGTAGCGAAAACAAAGTTAAACAACTTTTATACAACAAAAGGAGATCGCGATCATACAAAAGGCCACACCATCTTGATCTTCATACCTTCGATTAAATAGGAAATGTTCATCTGGCATCAATGCTGAAAATTTAAACATTAGATGATATGTTCTCATCTCATCACATGTTGTTACTATGTTTCGTTTATAAGTCGGTTTTCGAGAGTATAAGTAGGTCCTATATATATAAAGTTAATTCACCCTATATCGTTTAGGGTGATAATTGATTAATAGATAGTAGATGAGTTTTTCCAACATTTCCACTTTCCAAAAGTGTTATCATTCAAGGAAGACCTCGCCTATGTCTTATAACCACCCTCAGTGGGACTTGAACCATAAGAGTACAGCGTATAATCTCGACAAGTTAACAACTAAGCTACATTGAAACAAGTGTACTTGGGTCACAGGGTAGATGTAAATTTCAAGGAAGGCCAGGAAATTTCCCATATCACATTCTGTGGTGGGATTGTCGATGAAGCAAGAAATTATCTACTGTATTAGGACGATATAGGATCGGCCAATGACAACACAGTATTTATCTATTGCGAGATTAGCAATTACATTACATTGGTATAGGAACAAACTCTTTCTTAGGCCCATAAATTGTGTTAGTGGCCTGAAGTATTCAGTGCTAGAGTTAAAAGTTGTTGCTTACATTTTGTACGAATAAATGAGACAATCGATTTTATAAGATGGGAAGGAGGAGCAGCTAAGCTTTGAATCATTTATAAAAATATTTAGTAAACTGAAATGGTTAAACAAGAGACAAAAGTAAATTTTTAATATTCGCAATAATGTTTAAAGCAATATTTAATGGTGCGAGACAATTGATCTAGCCAATTTTATTACATATTTTAGTAATTATATGCAAAATCGTTCTAGCTAGGTTAGAAAAAAAAGCATGCCTTGACTCAGCTTGATCTGACTTTCTGGCAGATGAAGGCGTTCTGAAGCTAATTTTTTAGCGGCGAGCTCGGAGCGAGCGACTACCCATAGATCTGAGGACTTATTGTGCTGCATAAATAAGGATAAAAGGAAGATTAAGGATAGAGTATAGGTAAATAATATCATGAAAAAATTTCTAACATTTCTTAATTGATAAATTCCTGGATAAGATACAAGACTAGGGTGCCCTAAAATGCATTATATTTTAAATCAAAAGATACTTTTATCACAACAATGAAGATGAAGTTAAGAAAAATCAAGCTTGTTCTATGATTGATAGTGGTAACTTAATTATCAAACCTTTTATGAAGATCTTCATGCCCAACATAATGATGGTCTGTGCTATGGTCTGGAAAGATTCACACAAAATTAAACTTTGAACAAGTAATGCCAGAAATAACGCATAGAATAGTACAAAAATATAAATTTTAAATAAGAAAGATTAAAGTAACCATGACTCAAATTAAAAGTCGCTTGCGTTTACATTGCCTCACATAAATTCCGCCAAGTGTCGATCTAATGTCTAAGTTAAGAGAAGTAGTGAAACAAATGACAATGTACCAAGTCAATAGTCAGAAGCTGGAAATCACGAATACTATGGCAGAGAGCACAGGAATAGGTAAGTTCCACAAGTTTTCCCTGACGCTCCGACCAAGTTGCGAAAACCAGATAGAACTAACACTATAAAGCTAAAGAAGACTGCGACATAACAGAAGGCCAGACAATCTTGGCCTTCATATCTACGATCTTATTACTAGATAGGATTGCCGGTCAATGCTTTGATTACAGCAGATAAAAGAAAACAATAGTTATCAACCTTGTAATTTAATCCTTCTTAACTGTTGTAAACGTTAAAGCATCCCTCCTAGTTTTTGCAATTTGATGAGAAAATATCATTCCGATAAGGTCAATAAAGCTTTTTTGCAAAAATAAGGAGATATATGATAGACAGAGGGAAGAGGATTAATATATTAAATTAAAACCCAGGCATGACATCGGACTTAATCACAAAAAGGCATCAGGAGCTGAATAAATATAGGATATATAGGCAGCCCAATGTCCAACCATCCAACCAAAATGAACATGCCTCTAGAATGACGGATCTCATAGTCAAGACAAGAA